TCAGAAAGAGGCATCAGTGGATGATTTCATGCTTATTGCTTACATTTTAGGTAATCTGTAAGTCGGATGCTCCGACAGGAGATGTTCTTCTTGATGAAGCTCTAAAGCATGTTAAGGAGACTCAGCCTCCAGAAACGGTCCAGAACTGGATTGAATTACTTAGCGGTAAGCTGCTGTGTGTATAAACCAAAACCTGAATTCTATTTAAAAGATTGCGTAAAAAGTTTAAAATCCTTTTGAAAGGAACCTAAATAAAATAGCCAGAAGCTTATTTGTTTATTTAGGCAAATTTGAAAGGGGTCGGTCACTGAGCGGGGAAAAGAATGGTTTTTATAAAATTTCATCCTGTTTATCAAGACTTAGCAGTTATCAAATGAGATGTAATATTCTTACTTAGAGCTCCTATCATTCTTCATCAAAATTACCACATGCTACCGTATTCTGGATGGTGATAAGCAACCCCAAAACCACAGTGGCTTAAAACAGCAGTTTATTTCTCATTCAGGCTGTAATGTAAGTCAGTCACAGGCCACTTCATTCTCCCTCTGGTAGCCAGGCAGTGGAGGCCACCACCATCTGGAGCAGTATCAGTCACTGTGGTGAAAGGAGGAAGAGTGTAGCAACTCTGGCTCTTAAGTTTCTGCTCAGAAATGACATGTGGTTCATGTTTCCTTGATCAGAACAAATCACATGGCCCCTCCTAACTTCAAGGAGACAGGGAAGTGCAACCTAAGGGAGGAGAACCTGAAAAATTTGACAGCACAAATGACTATGACATTTATATTAAAGTTATTTGTATGTTTGTCTAATTTCCTAGTTGGGAAGCTCCTTGAGTGTGAGACCTAAGTTATCTTGTTATTCCTCTCTGCTGTTACCTAAAACATAGCTACTGCGTACATTTATTGTCATTTCATCTCATGTTCAAGCATATCACTATTTAGAGTAACTTTTAAAAACAACTGGACATTTTCAGAGATTGGTAGTTAACATGGAACATGGTCAGTTTTCTAAGTTATGAATAAGCAGAGTTTTTAAAAACAGTAGTCCTATTGGGATGTTCTTCTTTCAGTAAGATATGTTGTTTTTATATTTGTTTTATTTAAAAATTAAATATGTACACTCCATTCTTAGCTAATAGGACAGTAATGATCACTTTACACTTAGGGCAATGGTCATTCTTCCTTCTTACTGATAGAAAACATTAAATTTAGTTTTGAATTTTTTGACAACCTTCTTGTAGATTTGATGTTTCTTTTTATCTCATTGAGTAAGGAAAACTTTAACTCCACTCCTCTCTTCTCCTTTGTGCTTGTGATATTGGACTTGTCTTCAGTTGCAATTTCTGTTGCAAGAATCTTTTAAAATTACTTTGCTCATTTTATGAGGGTTTGTTTAGTTAGAACTAGATAACGATAATCTACAAATCCACTCAGTCAGCACATTGATACAGTACATCACAATACCTATCACATTGTCAGTGCTCTCTGGGTTAGCCCTCCATGTATGCCTGTCAGTGGCATGCAACATCTGACAGAGACTCAGTGAGGGCATTAATGTTAACTCCATGTTAAATATTAGCAGATAACAATTTTTTAAGATAAAAATAAAAGTACTAATAACTTCTTTTCTTCTTCTCTCCCCCGCCCTCCGCTCCAACAGCCACAGAAGCCGTGAGCTAATATATTAACTTTTAACTGTCCTCTCGTGGGTCATTTTGTATATTCTCTGGAGTTCATTGGCCTTAGCAATCTTTGGGTCATTCTCATGTTGTATTGCCTGCGGGGAGTTAGCTACGCTCCCAGCAAAAAATCAGGTCCCTTAGATAGAGGTCATCGCAAAGGATAAGAAAATAATAGAAAGTGGAAAATAACGGAAATAAAAGAATACACAGAGACGAAGGTATAGTTTTATAGATTTATATAAAGATAAAAGACAAAAAGCAGGGGTACTTAGGGGTCCCTACAATATCCCCGGGAATGGTGAGGCCCAGAATAAAGTTTCACATGGGCATTTATAGGTACAGAGATCAGTTGCCAGGGGTAACAGATTTACATAATAACAGGTAGTTTGTTTTGGGTTAAAAGTCTTTCAAAAGGCTTCTATAGATCCCTTAACTAACTAACTAACTCTGGTTACAGAACTTTCAAGGACAAACTTTTAAGTTCTAAGATAAAGCTATTACTTAACAGAAGGGTTAAACAGAGATATAGTGGCTCCATATTTCTTT